GTGAATAATAATAATAGAAATAATAATAATGATAATAATAATAATAATAATAGTGAGGAAAAAAGATAAAAAATAGTTATAGTAGTAATAGTTGTAGTAGTAGTAACACCAGTAGTAGTAGTAGTAGTTGAGTAGTAGTATTAGTAATAGTAGTATTAGTAGTAGTAGTAGTAGTAGTAGTAGTAGTAGTAGTAATGGTAGCAGCAGCTGTATTAAAATGGGCGTCAATCAATTTTATATCTTATGTAGATAAAATAACCATAAAAATCTCTTCGCTTATTAATTGTTTCATCAATAAAAAATAAAATATTAATAATAATGATATTAATTTTAATAATAACTATGATTATTATTAATATTATTAATATTACTACCTATGTTAATAATAATATTGTTTATTAATTTTTCCAGATAACATCCTGGGCCTCTCTCTCTCTCTCTCTCTCTCTCCCCAGAAATAATGAAACACACTGAAATGAAATCGTAAATAGTCTGACTTGAAAAAAAACCAGACAGACAGTCAAAGTCAGACAGACAGGCGGACAGATAAAAAAAAACTATAGACCGATAGAAAAATAGGACAAGGGGTAGGTAGTCGGGTGGGTAGGTAGGTAGGTAGGCAGGTAAGTGGGGGGGTAGGTGGTCATGTGATAGAAGCCAGGTAACACAGGTGGGAAAATGATTGTAGGAAGAGGCAGATGAATCCTTTGAACTGGAACTACCTGTTTTGGGTCTCCATCATTTTTTCTCACCACCTCACCTCAACTGATACCATCATGCCCACGACGACGACGAAGATGATAATGGCGATGACGTCAGCGTTAAGAGTGACGTCATCATCGACGATGGTAACGCCGGTGACGACGACGATGAAGATGGCGTTCGATATAAGATTGGCGGATTTGTTACCAGAGCCACCATCACCCTCAAATGACACAACAACAACAACAACAACCACATCGACAAAGACATCAGTTTTACTACCAATTTTAAATACTGCAACGACAAAATCATCACCTCCTACTACAGCGGCAGCAACAACAACAACAAAAACAACATCAACAACAACAACAACACCAGCAACAACAACAACATCAACAACAACATCACCAGCAACAATCACAACAACAAACGAACAAATTCTTCCAACGCTGACTTCAATTTTCATAGAACCGGCGCAAACAGCAGAGTCATCAACTGAAATAAAAAAGTTCTTACAAAGAACAGGCATGCAATCTCGAGATAAAAATACATTACAAATAAAGGGGAGTAAACAACTAACGCGAAACTTTTACGAAAATTCACCTGCAATGACATTAACAACAACAACATCAGCAGCAGCAGCAGCAGCAACAACAACAAACACAGCAACAACAAATCTACTATCAATAACATCAGCGTTAACTTTACAATTAAAAAGCATTGAAACTTCCATTGTACTTGAAACAACAACAACAAAACAAAGAAGAAGAACAATAAAAACAACAACAACAACAACAATGTCATCAACGTCACCAACAAAAACGTCAACAACAACATTACAAAACATTTCGGCAACTAACATCGCCAGACCTGATGCAATTACCTTTATCAGCATAAATTCAACGCGACTCATCTTGAGTAACATACCTTTTAACATTCACCCCAAGGGCACAATAACCAACTCTTACAAAACCATTAAAAATACTATTACCTCTCAAATTGCCACTACTACCACTCTAATTACTACTACTCGAATGACTACTACCACAGCCACCATTACCACAGCCACAGCAGTTCTTGCTGCTGCCACGATGGCTTTTACGACAACTACAGTTTCAGTTTCTGTTACGTTAAGTTCTGTTTTTTCCAACACCTCTACAAACACTTTTGCTGCTAATTCCGGCATGACGAAAGATGAAAATACTTTTACTCCAAAATATTTTGTGGATACTACTGCAGCTATGGTAGTTACTACTACTACCACTACTATTACTGCAACTACTACTACTGCTACTACTGTCGCAGCAACCAATGGAAGTATTCCTACAAAAATAACAGTCGAGATTATGACATTCAAGAAGAACATACCGAAAAACGTCACAAACATGTATGCAAAGGAACGAACACACACCGATACAACAACGATCAAAATGCCTGC